GCATTTATGTTTTTTTTTTTAGTTTTTCTAAAGATAGCACAGAAAGTGGGCGTCGAGTCGTATCAGGAGGTCAAGAGAATGGCCCAAGAGGAATAGGACTTGTTCCATCGCCAAGAACGAACATATAGTTGCCAGGTATGTGCAGTACCGGAGAGGGGCGTATCCGTCGTCGCCGGGCGTCCAGGAGAAGGTGATGTGGTGCGGCTGCAGCAGCGAGCGCTGCAGGTTGGGGCGCGCGGGCGGCGCGGGCGCGGCGCGGTTGGCGGTGGTCAGCACGAGCGCGCGCGCCGTGCCGCCCCAGCCCAGCCGCGTCTGCGCCGTCACCGAGAACAGGTAGTACCGCTCTTGCAGCAACTCCGTTGCTCTGCGAAAATCGCAGAAAAAAAAAAGAAATCGTGAATAAAGGTGTAATGTGCAGAAGCATAGAACAGAACAAAGTCGGCACCTTATCATAATGAATATAACCTATAAAACCCATAAAGTGATTACCTAAATGTTCTGTCGGAGGGTAGAAATTCTTTGGAGAACATGTGTTGTGTGGAACTGTTGAGGTGATAAGTGACTTTGTAGGCGAGGATCTCGCCGTTGGGGTCCTCCGGCACGTCCCAGATGATGCGCGCCATCGTGAACGTCACGTCAGGAAACGACACGTTGGACGGCGGACCCGGCGCTACAGAAACCACATTTATATGATAAGTACAGCTAACATTAAAGTACAAAACTTTACTTTAACAATAAAGGTGTTACTTACTGTCTTCGAACGTCCTGACAGTGACGGGCGGGTCACTGAGAGCCCCATCTCCGAGCCTGGTGTACCCGAGCACCTGTATCTGGTAGACGACGTACTTCCTCAGCTCGGTGAGGGTCACCGTGTGGGTCTGGTTGGAGGGTATGGCCTGGCACTCCACCTTGTGGTGCTCCGGCCTCGGCGGGGGCACGATCGCGGCGTAGCACACCTTGTACCCCTCTATCAGACCGTTCTGCTCTTCAACGGGGATATCGCCCCACAGCACTACTACGG